TGCCTGTCGGTCGAGGAAGGCGATGACTAGTCATGCAAGCGTAACACGTATCCTAACCATCTCATTCGATATAACTTCACAGCCTCGTCGATTCATTTCCCCTCCTTACCTAGAACTCGACGCCTAACCTCAATTTTGCTCACCTTATTATACCATTTCACAGGGGAGATAGAACGCAGGCACCTATCATCAAAGACAGCTAATCTTCTCATGTCTTCCGCTCTCAGTGGCCAGGTCTAACAGCCATAAAGGAGGACGTAGCGGACTGATGAGCAGTACACCCGCCTTTTGGTCGATATTACGTCTACGCCAGGGACGGCGTAATTTGGCATATGCGAAACTAGCCCTCTGTATCCGTGCTGAGATTTCGTCAGAGATCAACCCGTTGGCACCGGCTGATGGTACTTCCCAAATAAGTGAAGCGGTCAACGTGCTCTACCACTTCACTCCCTATTTTTAAACTAGGAGTCACTGTAGTCCATTCCTGTAACATCACCTTGCATTTGGCGGGAGCGAATCGCATGCCAAACATTCGTAGATTGCAGCTCAAGGTGCTCAGAAGACTCTGCTCTATTTTGTCAGCGTCCTCGCCTAGTTGGGAAGGACTATATCGTCTGCATATTCTAAGTCAACGAGATTACTCCCTGGTAGCAAGTCAATCCGTGAGTCGCTGAAGTGAGTTAGGGTTAAGTCTATTAGTACATCTATGATGAAATTGAATAGAAATGGGGATAAAGGGCATCCTTGATGGACACCACTAGTCCCCAATAATAACGACTTAATGCATTAATGGTTGATGACTGATTTCAACATAGAACGTAGAAATGAAGTGAAATAGTTCAACTTACAACACTCCAAGTACCAGACAAAAAAATTCAAAAGAGAGAAAGAACAGATTTCGAGTGAACGATAAGAAGAAATGTGATAGAGAGAGGGAGAGAAAGAGTGAATGCACCTGCCCTGTTAACAACAATTTTGACCCACATCACCTATTGTCTCCAGTCATTAGCTCTTAGAATCCCACAGACCTTAACCCCGAAGTCTACACCTCCCTACCTGGCTGGTTTAAACCAAGTGTCAAAGATTTCATGAACTGATGAAGTCGGATTTTGGTTTGACAACGTCTAACTCTTTTCGAAAAGGATCTCATGTCAACTAACATTAACTGCTGAGGAAGGTGATGTCTCGGAATGCGTAACACCTGTCCAAGCCATATTAATCAATTCACCTTCACAACCTCATCGATTGATTTCCCCTCCTTACCTAGCACTTGACCGATGTCTAACCTCAATATTACCCACCACATTATCCCATATAACACGAAGACCGAATGTAGATATCTGTGATCAAAAACAGTTAGTCTTTTCATTTCTTCCACGCCAGAGATGATGTAGGTCGGTAAATGACACACAAAGCCGTCGGTATCCGTGTTGAAATTTGGTCAGCAATCAGTTGGGGGGGAGGAGGCTGATGCAAGAATGGAGTAGTCAAACAGCTCTACAAATTCACACCATATCTTTAAGCTAGGACAATTTATCATAGGCAAGAGGATAAGCTTTCAGCGTAGTGGTATGGATGAGAAATTCAATTGAAATGGTAAAAAGCCACCCCAATCCCACCCACCCGCAAAGACTACTCGGTTGTACCGCCCCCACCCGCCTGGTTCACTTCAATTACACCTGACAACAAGAAATGATAATACATAAATGGTTTACTAGTAGAATGCTCACCATACACCCTCAGCAGAGATCTGGGTTGAAATTCCTGCTTAACACAATTTTTAAACCTTGTCTAGGGCGGTAGTATAGTCGGGCAAAGCTCAAATTCTCAGCATTATGTTCCACTCGCAATGTAAAGAATTAGGAATTAGGGGGTGGGGGTGTCGCAAGGTGAATAAGCACAAACATTTTTTTTCGCCGTCTAATGCCTACCATAAATTTTGACATAATTGTTACATGAAAACTAACTTATTTTAAATTTTTTAAAAAACGTGAAAGAGTTAAATAACAATTAAAACAAAAAAGTTGATTGCATTTCATTGTAAAAAATACACCAAATTCACTTATAAACAATATATAAGGCAGCAATATAGTGTAAAGTAATAGGGAAATTAATAGTAGGAGAGTGTGATGCAATTAGTACGTGTCGTAATAGTGAAAATAATTGTAATGATAATAATAATAGCGACTTAACTGTCTAGTTTCTTTTTTGGTATCCGGTTAGGCTTACTATGCAAAACATGAACTGATTACAGTGTAAATTTCATCACTAAAAAATATCATAATTTAACTGATGGATGGTGACTAGCAGTGGAATCCAGGATTACGAGCATTTCGTCCCATTTGAGACTCGTCAGCTAACTAGATCTACCTGCATTCCCCAGTGAGTGATGATGTTCCCACCACCGAGGCTCGAACCCAGTGCCCATAGTTTCAAACGCCAAAGCGTTATCCACTAGACCACTCGGGCCACCTCTTGTGCAGCAGGTCATATTAATTATTTAACTGAATTTCAAATTCTCCCGTCGATTGATTGGACCGAGGTGCTCGGTCTCAGGCTGGCATGTCGGCTTCTTGTGCAGATGCTTCGACGATGTTGCGGTAATGTAGTCAGAATTTAACTGGTGGATGGTGACTAGTAGTGGAACCCAGGATGTGCATAGTTTAGCATTTGAAACTATGAGCACTGGGTTCGAGCCTTACTCGTTGGAAAATACAGGTATATGCAGATGAAGAGTCCCAAAAAGGACGGAATGTACATCCTGGATTCCACTGCTAGTCACCATCCACCAATTAACTTCTAATTGCATGCCCAGATATCGTCGAAGCATCTGCACAAGAAGCCGACATGTCAATCTGAGACCGAGCACTTCAATCTAATAAATCGACGGGAAAATTTAAAATTCAATCAAACCAATATCAGTTGAAGAATTATTGGAAACAAACACACTAGAATGTTGCTGTTTCGCCCGAGTTTGGTTAACTGAGCCCATCAAGAGTAACATAAAACAATAATAGGTGATCAGTGTTATTCTCATTGAAATATAAGGTTTTAACAGATTACAGGACGTGTGTACTGCTCAGCAGTTGACTCCGTCTTCTCTAATAGGTGGGAAACACAACTATCAAAATTGAAAGAGATATGAAAAGACTAGCTGCCTTTGATCTCATAGGTGTTTGCATTCTAACTCCCATGTTAACTGGTATGATAATAAGGTGAGTAATATTGAGGTTAGGCCTACAGTGTTAGCCAAGTAAGGAGGGTAAGGGAATCAACTGACATGGCTTAGACAGGTGTTGAGCATTCCAAGCGATCAACTTCGCCGGAGAGTCATTGTAAGCTAACATAGGAATAAGTTGGAAAACAGTTAGACATGGTCATCAAATGTTAACCAGAGACCCGGAGAAGCTCAGTAAAACGGCTGGAAATCGCTTTGAATGGAGAAGAGATGCATTCACCCTTTGTGGTCTTATATATATATATATATATATATATATATATATATATATATATTCAACCTTATTGTTTCTCCAATGTTACTATTCTTTATCTCCTACATTTGGGTGTCTTCTCTCTTTTGTCTCCCTTGCACAGAAGTGCAACAGTTCAATATCGAAACAAGTAAGTAAGCCTAATTTTTAAATCTTAAACAGTGATCAACCATGATCACACCTGAGATCAACAGCAATTCAATATCTGAATGTCCATCATCCCCAGCTAATGTATGGCTAATAGATGAATGTCCTGAAGTTGTAAAAAGAAATCACATGACCGATGGAATCTGCCATATCAGGATAGAGCGAACAGTATCGATTGACAATAATAGCACTATACCATAAACTGACAGAATTCGGGGTCCCTGGGTCATCTGGGACATCCCCACCCAGAAACTGAAAAGTCGATCATCTCGCATCCCCGAAAATCTGCGGCCCTATCTCTACTGAGACCGCAGACGGGAACTGCTCGAATATCCTAAACAAGAATGAAACAGGTGTCCAGTACTCCTTTGTGATAAACGATTCTCCAAATGATGAAATTCACAATAGAGTTGTTAATTCCTCAAAAAATCTGAAGATCTCAATAAGCCTAAAAGTGTTAAAAGTCGACCACGATGAAATTTTGTCCACCAAGAGGTGCACCAAACACAAGAAAGCATGTAATACAATATATTGAAAGAAGTGATGCTACACAGTTGTTAATGCTGACGTATATGAAGTACGTCTTGGAACCCAGACCCAATGACTGATTCGATTCCATTACTTACAGCTTCAATTTCTGAGATTTTGGTAAATACAATATTGTTTCTCAACACAAGTTGTCGTTTCAGTCAGATTGTCCTTTCTGTATCTCCCTAGGTGTGGGTGTCGTGTTCTGGAGGCGGATCCCAGTCAAGTAAAACGGATGCACAACTCAGCAATCACTCACTCCGTCATAAGAGATATACATCAAGAATTTCTAAGTACCTGGTTAATGGATATCAAAGTTCGTCAGGATGACACAAACAAACGTTTGAGGTGCTAAGGGTGCTAAAGGACAATGATTCTTACGTTTGCAATGTGTCTGCACTCTACTCAGAGTAGAATGTTGATCTGGTTGACTTTGTAAATTTTATAAGAATGTGATGATAGAAAGCTCACAAAATCGAATATCAACAAAAAGCCGAAACTTTTTACTACCCACATACAACAAAAAACGCCAACCAGCTGACGTAATAACCTAGAGGCGAGGTTTAGAAGTGATTCGACAGGTCAGAAGTTGAAGTCAGAAACAAATACCACCCCCCCCCACCAATCCTCAACGCGGCGTAGTTGGCAAGCATCCTTCAACATCGTATTACCGACGCTTGAGATTTCACAAACGAGTAAACGATACAATACCAAAGCATGTTAAAAGTAAATATCTCTCCTATAGAAGAGATTTGCTATTTTAAAAGATACGCCCCTCATAAACAGACATATAAACGAGCACACACACCAACAACAATGTGTGAAGAAACTCACCTCAGAATCAATTGGTAGAAATTGTGCCTCTAATGGATCTTGAATTATCGTAGGCTCAGTAATTGCTAAACAATCTGCGTGGTTATTGTCATGATTGGCATCTTTATCAACAACACCTTGACTTTGTGTTTGTGAGGGCTCACTAACACATGGTGATATTGGTGGTGATAAATCTTTATCAGCCGAAGTTTCATGAACAAGATCATCAGTAACACCGCCTTCTTTATCCTTCGTTACAAAAACTTCGTCATCACCATCATCATTTTGATCATCATTACATGGGATATTTGCAGTGGATGGACCAACCGAAGAATGCGTAGACGCAGACGAGGCTGATGAAGATGTTGCTGATGTTGACGGCGCGGATGTCGACGACTCTGAGGCTGACGACGGAGATAAAGAGGAGGATACTACTGATCCTGATGACCGTGGCGATAATGATGATGATGGATTAGTATTCGATAATACTGTAGTTTGATGACTTTCTGAGGTGGTGGGATCAGTTGATACAGCAGGATCAAGTAAATTCAGCTGACTCGATGAACATGAACTACGTGGAGATGTTGAAGCAGATGAAAAACTTGATGAATTATTCGATGAATAATGTCGATGTCTTGTATGTGAAATGATGGCATCATTTGATACGGATGATGCTGATGGGACATGAGCTTGTTGAATCACAGTTTCAATGCTTTTCGGTATCATAGATGATGAAATACCAATATTATTATTATGATTATTATGATTATTTAGATTATAATTTAAACCGGGAGGTTTAAGCGCCGGTGTAGCTGTCGGTGCTGAAGCAACATAAGCAGGAAATGGTGTCGGTAGCTCATCCATAATACGTATTTCTTCAAGAATTGATTTTGAGGTAGACGGATGGTAGTGATGATTGATACCATTTTTACTACTGGTGATAACAACACTTGACGGACTGTCTTCAGCAGCATTACCATTGCTACTGGTAGTTGCTGCAGTGACAACAGAATGTTCAATTAAAAATTGTTGAGGTCTAGCCGATTGAATTCGTTCCATTGGTGCTACAACACACGATGATGATGTTGAGGAGGAGGATGCTGATTTCTGTACAGTAGTTTCAGTAGGCATTACTGAAGGTTTATATTGTGACTGCCATGGTGTATGCATTTTTGTCGGTGGTTCCGGTCGACTAGATGATGTTGGAGATATATGACGTTTTAAATCATTATTATTTTTACTATTATTATAATTGTTATTGTTACCTGCAGATTGAACTGATTTGATTGGAAATGCCTGCAAAAAAGTTCAACGGGAATTGTTCCGAAAAAAATCCGGGTGGGAAAACAATGAGACATATATATATATATATATATATATATATATATATATATATATATAATGTATACAAATAAATATCAATTCAAAAATAATTTCAATTATAAGAATAACAAGTGGAAAACTATCCCGACTTTGGGTTCGAGTCTCAGTAGGAACATCATCATTGGGGACTCAATGAGAAATGCTGTTGCTGACGAGTCCCAAACAGGATGAAACGCCCACAAAAGATTCTTCTACTGTTAGTTACCATCCTCCACCAAATTGCCTAAGGTTAAAAACCTCGAACATCACACAAAGAGTCAACATCTCAATCAATCAAAGGGGAAATCCAGAATGAATTCAATAATATTAGAACTTTAGTTGACAATATAACCATCAGAAGAGAACACCACAGTGAAATTAAAGTACAAAATATGGCAGTCTATTTAAAAGTGGGGTTAGCAAAAATCTTCATCAATATGCTCCGCAAATAATTTCAATTGTTTAAATTGATTAAATCTACCAAAAAATATGACGTCTAGTAGTATCTATCATTTACTCTCGTGAGTATTTAAAATGCTTGAAACCTACTGTTTCTAAAGTTTCCAATAAACATATATTCCAGTAGATGAGATAACCACTGATCCTGAGTTAGGATCGTCTTTGGATCTCAAAAAGAATATCCCTGCACTTTTGTTAAATTGGCTTTCAACCAGAATGTTGTCCCGCATTTCACAAAGGAGGCAAAGAAAAAACATGCCTCGAAATGGAATGGATTGTTGCACCTCAGGTAAAAAAAAAATACACCGTGTCACACGATCTACCTTCAGTTAAATTTTATTTTAAGTATTGGTTTGTAGGGGTTTGATTGATTAATTAATTCATTACAGAATTTCCTCATGAGCTGACAACGGTTAGAGAACCATTGGAAAACAACCTGAGAGTACTGCCAGATAGCTAGTTGTTTCATCAGCCTAGTTTGGGACTCTTCATCAGTATGCACCCACTGACACGGTTAAAACCCAGGGGTCTTCTGGTTACAAAGCTAGCAAGCTCGTACACTGCTGAGCCACTGGGATTCGATGAAATGTCCAACCCATGAATTTCAACTTCTGCCAGTTCACAACATAACGCGACCGCTAGCCAATATCTTCAGCGAGTATTTCTCTTCACACCCGACCTGCAGGGTGAAGCTGAAATCTCTGTGCACTATATAAATACTCCAGAATAAAGCTGTTATTACTATTATTATTGTTAATATAATACCACGAACTTTGACACGCCAAACTCCACATAACATTCAATGATGTTAAAATAGTAGCAATAATAATAACAATAATAAATCCGAAAAACTGAAATAATTTTCATACACAGTAAGTGAGTGACTGAGTGAGTAAGTTAGTCCGTTAGTTAGTTATTTACAACTTGGGCACACGCAAAAATTGTTTTCCATACAACACTGAACTGATCGCCAAGCATATACTGCCCTCTGTGAGGTAGTACACTGATATTTCTCACACATTGAAGGAAGTAGATTTGCAGTTACAACATCGAGGAGTCAATTCGCTGAAAAAATCGAGTCTTGAACACAATGAATCACAAAGTTAATAGCATAATATAATCGAAAAAACCCAAACAAAATCAAATGGTGTATAGTGGAGGATTATGCTTTAAACACTCCCGGCCCTTTCGAGGCGGGGGGGGGGGGTGGTTGAACGTTTCAACATCAACATAGATCGCTATAAACACAATGCACCATCAAACCTGGATATAAGTTGAAAAGTGAATCAAAATTGATATACAAGAGTGTGAAAAAAACGTAGTAAAAAAGCAAAGCAAAACAATCAAGTTATTTTTCATTTGGCTGGATTCAAACCTCAATACTGACTTTATTTATGTTCAGCACTAAATGCTTAAAGTGAAGGCGAGTCTATCGTGTGTACAAAAGAACAAAAAACGGAATAAAAAACCAAGACTGAGACGCATGACAAACAGTGTGATTGATGACCACACACACGCACGCACGCACGCACACACATACATACATACATACACACAGAGGAATACCAACTGAAATAAAGACAACGAAATAAGTAGATTTATCATTATTATTTACTATATCCTTTAATTCCTAGAGGAACATAGGGCTTCAGCTGCCCAAGTCTCCATTGCCTTCGGTATTCTGCCAACTTTTTCACCTCCCTCCAAGTCTGCCCACATACCTTCATCTCCTCTTCACATGACCTCCTCCAAGTCACCCCACCTTCGGACGACCAACTCGCCGCTTCCCTTTCGGGTTCCACTCGATCAATGGCTTGTCTAGTGATGTCACTTGATGGTTTCCTCAGACTATGGCCAGCCAATCCACCTCCATTTCTTCCTGCCTATTTGTTTCACAATCGGTTCCTGGTTGGTTCGCAGATTGCCACAGACGCCTGTTGGTGATCTTTTCTGGTCAGTGATCTGATCTTGAGTATTGAGCGAAGACAACTGTTAATGAAGATCTGAAGTTTGTTTGAGATGCTCTTTATGACTCGCCAAGTCTCTGATCCGTATAGTAAGTAGCACTGACTGACTTTACATTGCAGTTGAAAATCCGGATCTTATTTTTGATGCTGAGTGCTGTTCACCTCCACACAGACCTAAGAGTAATGAGAGCTTGTCTTGATTTTCCGATTCTGGCTTTGATATCCTTGTCAGTCCCGTCCGCCTGTAGTCGAAAGGATGCTTCCCAGGTCAGTAGGTAAAGGAGGTTGTTTCTTTCAGGTTCCTCCCATTTATACTGGCTGATTGTCTGTTGTTGTAGCTGTAGCAGTTGGCCACGAATGTTCATCACCTCTGTTTTATCTATGTTCACTTGAAGTCCTATTTTCTCTGGATGCTTCTTTTATCTCCAACTTGTTGCTTTTCACTTGCATATCTTCCAGTCTGTGGGAAATCAGACATATATCATGGGCAAAGTCCAGATCCTCCAAGTTCTTTGTTTGTGTGGGTCCATTTTATGCCTGTTTCCTCATTGCCCATTGTCTGTCACATTATCCAATCTACCTCAATCAGGAAAATCATTGGCGATAGTAGGCAGGCTTGTCTTACTCCCGTCCTCACTTCGAAGGATTCTTTAAATTTCCCGTTGTCGATTACTTGGCATGCAGCATTGTCGTATAACTGTTGGATGAGATGTATAATTGTCGATGTGACCCCACAGTAGCGAAGTAGTTTCCGAATCACCTCTCGATCGACGCTGTCGAAGGCCTTTTCAAAGTCGATGAAGTTGAGATAGATAAGTGACTGCCATTCCAAGCTTTGTTCAATGATGATCTGTAGTGTGACGATCTGATCAATACATGACTTGTTTCTCCTGAATCCAGCTTGTTTCGGTCGAAGTTTTTCATCCGGGTTAGTGCGTTTGATTCTCTGTAGGATGATGCGGCTTAGTATTTTGCTTGGGATGGACAGGAGCATAATTCCGCGCCAGTTTTTGCATTGACTTAAGTCTTCTTTCTTTGGTAGTTTGAATAAGTATCTTTTCTTCCAATCCTCGGGTACTTTGCCCTCTTTCCACACCTTCTCCAGCAGTGGCGTCATCAAGTCCGCTGTTGTCTCTGGGTCTATTTTCAAAACTTCTGCTGGGATTCCATCTGGTCCTGCTGCTTTTCCAGCAATATTAATGATTATTTCAAATTCAATTTTGATTTTCCAATCGATCGAATGGACCGAAATATTCGCCCTGTGTTGACATCTCGACTCCTAGTGCAGACGCTTGATGGATGGTGACTAGAGCATTGCGAGAATCTAGGATGCGCATTTCATCTTATTCGAGACTCGTCAACTGGATGTGTCTGCACCCCCAATGAAACCGGAACCTAGTACCCATTTGTTTCAAACGACAATGAGTTATCCACTAGACCATTTTGGGCCCCGGGAGCCACCACATATTCTGCAACGGATGTCAGTTATATCATTCATTTTTTAAATTCAATTTCGATTTCCCCGTTAATCGATTGATCCTAAATGTCCGGTCAACGACGATGCCTAAGGACCAGTGGAAACACTATCACTCATACAATCGGTGGGGGGAATGCAGGTACATCATCTACTGACGAGTCCCAAACGGGACGAATTACCACTTAAACTGGTGAATTCCAGCACCACCGCTAGTCACCAACCGCCAAATGACTTCAAAATTATCATAACAACAATTGTTATCAATATAAAGTGAGTAATTGTCATTCTATGACCATTTGCAAACGCACGCGCACACACACACAGAGACATACAAAAGCACACATGATTGCATTCGCCTTATATACGTAATAATAACAACAATAGTTATTATTCTTATTATTTTTAGACAAGCGTTCAAAAAGGTACTAAACAGCAGTGAAATAGAAAACAAAACAACAACAAGACAAGCAAAGACGGTGGAGAGCACACAACTACAAAAGTTATCACATAAGAGATGATAGTGCAAAGTAGTCACATGCATTATTTTCCACGGTGTATCACAAGGTATCTATTCCATTGGTATATGTAGGGGGGTATACTATTTGAAAAGTAAGGTAACTTTGACAACAACAACAACGTCATTGCACACAACAAACTAACAAACAAACAAATCAACGCCTCCGCCTACTGATGACGTACCGACACGCTATGGCCCACATAACGGCATTCATGCATATACAAACATATTTACATATGCCTGAGTGTACAGATATATATGCATGTTCAATATATAAGCACACATTTTAATGGTGATAAGTAATGAGTGATAATATGACGACACATACAAACATAAGTATGTATATAAATATATATATATATACATATATATACTAGATACACGGGCACACACACACCCTTCCCCCTTCACACACACACACACTCTAAGGCTGCCACCCTCACACACTTACGTTTCGTGTTTGCACAAGTGTGCGATCCTAAAAATTTAGAGAGATTAATCACACAGATATAGCAATAATAATAATAATGTTGAAAATATAATTTTGGCCTGTTGATATATAGATATATTAAATATATCATAGAGCATTATATTATAGATAGACTGAAACATGTGACAGTGTGTGTCATATGCGTCTGTATAAGAGAGTGTGTAAGCGAACGTATAACAATGCCTACTAGATAGTCTGTTAAATACATGATAAGTGTAGGTATATGGTAAAATGGATTGCAATCGATACAGCTTGACCAGACTTGATTGACAGAAATCAATGAAAGAAATTCAACAATTTACTATTGATGAATACTATTCGCATTGTCAATAAAATCATATGACGCATACTTTAGGCGAGTAATATGCGCAAACGTGAAATCCACTCACATCTATCTTTACACCTCTACACATAATTTTTTTTAAATGAAGATTTTGTGGTGAAAGAAACATCAGTTAGAGAAATAGTGGAAACCAGCATATTGTGGACACTTGTTTCGTCCTAGTTTGAGACTCTTCATCAGTACACACTCATGAATTCAATAAGGACAGAACTTAAAACTATTTCTGGTGACTAGGCTAACTCGTTAACCAGTCAGTCATTTGGATCTGAATTTAATGGTTTGGTTACTTCGCAATGGTATGCAGTGACTCTCAATTCAAAAACAGTGAGAGAGAGAGAGAGATGGTAGAGTGTGTTTGACCACCTCACTCACTTACTACTTTGGAAGTTGCATTCAGTCCCAACGGATTGATTATTGACGAAGTCTCAGCACAGATATAGAAGACTCGTTCGACATTGCCCAACCTACGTCATCTCTCTGGCTTAGTAGACGTGATATCCATCTGGCTATCGAGTGAAGGATATGTGTAAAAATCACTCAATCCTCTTCTGTGGCTGTGAAACATCGCCACCAGCGGTCGAAGATATGGAAAGGCTGGTTGGTCAATCTCCTCTATCAAGTGGTATCATACAGGGAGTAATACTGAGATTAGGCATAGAGTATGAGATAAGGTTGTGAAACTACATCGACTGAAATGACAATGACACTTGGTGAGCACAACCCGCGATCGCCTTCTTCGAAGAGAAATATTAACCGACATTGGACAAAGGTAGGAATAACAGTTAATGGGGGGGTGACCAAATCAAAAACTGACATTAAATCCATGAAATCTCGGGAGGCTGGTTTCAGCCAACCACGTAGGGAGGTATAAACTGCTCGATTGGAGTCTTTGAGATTCTAAGAACTATTGACTGGAGACAGACATTTGGTGATTTGGCTGTATATCGTTCGCAGTAGCTTAGATGCCTTCACTCTTTCTAATCAGCCAGATACATTTATCTCTGCTTATTAATGTCGTCCTGAATCTCATTCTCTCTGTCTCCCTCTCTTCCCTACCTTTATATCCTACATGGAGTATGGCAAGTTAAACTGATGCACTTTCGTGCAAAGATCTCTGCCTTGAAGTTCAGACACATTCAGAAACACTAAAGTCAACAACTAATGGCATCGATGAACATTCACTCGAACTTAAAATGGTAGATCTCACGGCAGTACAACTTCACGAGATTCACTAGTGGCCACGAATGAAATGGAGACTAATATGTAGGTTATTGCTAATCAGTATTACTGACAAGACTTTTCAGTAGTATATTAACAGATATTGATCGGCACAAAAATACTGATTAGCGGAGAAATATTAATAGAAATAGTTCATTGCAGTCATAACAAACAAGCAACGACGGTTTTTCTTCTGTACAGAGCAGCTATGACACATTATCGACTGTGTTAATTACAATCCACTTACAATGTCTACTATCTATCTTCCTGGGTGATTGCAACACTCGTGTCAAAAGCATCTTCCATTCTTCCGGGCAAAGTTTAGTTGCCCCGCATATCTAGTCGAAAATATCTTCGACTATGAGACCGAGTGATAGACGAGTTTTCCCTCCTAAACGTCTTAATTAGTCATCAACCTCAATCCTATGGACAAGGTGAACGCTTTGTCCCCGACCTGCTACCTTGATGTGGTGATCGGGCTTGCACATCGCGATGACCCAACAAGCTACACTGGCTGGAACCAATGTTATTGCAGGTCCTACCATGCCAGGGAGGTTGTTAGATAGCAATTAGACTAAAAGCAGTTACCGGTATTGTGCAAGAATCTTTCTTACACTATGTTGGGGGTCTTAGGGCGAAGTCGTACCGCTGGGGAACAGGGGTGTAACAGCAATGAGGTGTTTCCCTCAGATGACCAGCATGCCAGTCAGCCAGTTATGCTGTCTCTCCACTCCGAGGAAAGAGAGGGGGTTAAAAAAGGTCGACTCCAATAATTGTACATCCTGACTTATCCTACGTCAATCCGTAACCGGCGGTGAGTTTACTAATACAGAACTAAACCAAGAAACCAGTTCATACAGGCCGTC